TCATATACCTGGACTATTTTCTTTCCATTTCAAACTTAAAAATCTCCAAAAAACAAACACAATACTTTCTTTTGGATTTTCTATTTACCTTGCCAGCTCTATCAAGATGATTCAAGCATTTCTTCTTTTAATGTTGAAGATTTAAAGTTAAAGGGATTTTTTTTACATATAGTCTTTTTTCTTTTAATAAAAATCAATTTTGTTTATTTCCTGTGAGATTGGTTTATCTCCCAAAGAGAAAAGGGAAGGCTTAATATTTCAGTCAGTAAACCCTATGGTATATCCCCAGAAGGAACTACTTAAATTATTCCCTCCCTACTTTTTTTCTTTCATTTGACCTTTTAATTGCCAGGAGAGTTGCATAAGATCTGATAGGCCTATTTCCCTCACATTTGGGGGTAGAGAGAAGATGCCATGAGAGGCGGCCCCTGGAAAACGGCTGGTGGCAGCAAGAGCTATTAACCCCCTACTACTGAGCCAGGAAGACCCAGCATGAGGTTTGAGAAGAGGAGGCTTCTGATTTCTAGTCTTGTTCTCCATGGACTCAGCTGTCTCTTTCTTCTTCACAAGTCCAAATGTGAGGACTTTAGCTCACAGAATTCTCAAGAATGCTGGGAGTTGGAAGCCAGGTAGGGAAAAACCTTGTAGTGCTTTCTAAAAGCCATATTTTACATTATACCTGCATAAATTGAGAAATTAGAATGCAAAATCCACAGTGAAGAACAATGAAAAAAAGAACTAACTTTTCTTCTCCCTCTCTCTCCCTCTCTCTCCCTCTCCCTCTCTCTTTCTCTCTCTATCTCCCACACACGCACTCTGTGTGTGTGTGTGTGTGTGTGTGTGTGTGTGTGTGTGTGTGAGAGAGAGAGAGAGAGAGAGAGAGAGAGAAATAAGAAATGTATTAAAATCAAATAATTCATAAAATCTGTGTTGTACCTGAAAGAGACTCCGTAATGAACAAATTAATCCCATCCCGATCTTATCTCTTTGTCAGACAAAAGTTAAGAAAGAATCCCTCATGTTAATCTTGCATCCAGGGGGACCATGTTTAAGATAATATGGCAAGTACAGTTAGGGAGATACTCTTATCAGTGACAATTATGTTGCACTTACGGACTGAAAATAGACTTGCACATTAATCCTGAACTTAGCAGACAAGAAAGCTCAAAAGGTAAAAATTCAGAAATCCAGAGTGTGGTGGGCTTACATCACGAAGTGTCATTTTTGGTATGAAAGAGTCGAAATAAGAAGTAGAAGGTTCTGC